TCTCTCTAATGAAGTATGTGGTGCTCTAGTTCCAGATAACTTCAACCCCCTCATTGACGACATTTGACAGAAATAGCGGCCCTTAGAAGCACATCGCCTCCATCAATACTCAGATGGAAATAATTGGCCTATAGATTCCTTGAAGTGTAAGACATTGTCCAGTACTTTCAAGGAAGTGGCTCTGAGGTGGTATATGATCTTTCTCTGTCTCTTGGTGACCATTTATTAGGATCTCGTGAGGAAACTAGTTCATCACTTTTCGGCGAGCAAGCACCGGAAGGTTTCCACAACTAACCTATTTAATTTCCATCGGAGGCACTATGATTTCTAAGGGAATATCTCTCCCAATTCAATGAGGGAACAATAAAGGTGGTACATATAAACAAGGGAATGTTTATGGGGGCATTTCAAAATTCTTTGAAAGTGGGGCACTTCAATGAGTCTCTCGCCCAGAAAACGTGTTGCATCCATGGATAAGATCATGGTGCGAGTCAAATTTTATTCCAAAGGAAAAAAATACAACATCATTCTTTGTCTTATGTGTATCTTTCTAGCTGTCACACTCTTAAGTAGTGGACTTCAGAGAGTTCTAAGTATCGGTGAATGTTTCATGCACGATGTTCAACTTGGTGTTCAGATCCACAACTGGCTTATCTGACCAGTTGTAGGAGTTGAACATTATGCACTCCAATATGAGTCCCCTCATCATATGGGTCTCTGTCAGGTTGTGCATTTTAGCATACCCCAAGTGAACCACCGCTTGATGGTTGTTGGAAAAGTCTGCAGGAAAATCAAAGTGAACTCGCACATAACTCATAGTATCAAAATTCTAATTTCGAAGGGAAGACACCTTTCTTTCTAAGGGTTGGTGGAGGATGTTCCTTTTATGGGCATTCCATCGAGCTATGTGGTATCTTAGGCTTCCAAATCTATGGTGTGGTCAAGTTGGGCGTCTTTATGCTTTCAAATTTGTATTGGAGACGCCTCCCCTTTAGCCATAACAGGTTTGATAATCTTCAGATGCCTAGAGGAAATGATGGTCACCCGTCCACTTATTTTCCTCTTTCCCTTTCTCAATAAGCCTCCAGAGTGGCTCTTGGATTGTTAAACCACTTCTCGCCCCACTCATTCTTCTTCCTAGTGTGAAGGATTTTCTTCTTAGCAAGGATTTAAATGTATTTAATAGATACAAATTATAGCATATTGTTTAATCTAACAATATTCAAGAATAATTAGAACGATGTACCTTATAAGATTGAAGAGACGGTTGTCGAAGCTTGTGAGTATGAGAGAATTACTACCCTCATTGCCGTTTAGAATTTTTAGAGTAGTTTAATTGTCTAATGGGGAGACACTTAAATAGCTAAACGGTTGAGGGCAGAGACCTCTCATTGGGCTTAACTGAATGGTCCAACCCATTACGGTCCATTCAGCACAAAACTCAATCAAACAATTCATCTATTTAGTGTTTAATAACAATAGACCATAATATAATTAATTAATAATTAATTATGTCAATCCATATTTGATTAATTAAATAATTAGTATAATATCATTGTCATCATCCTTTCTGTAAGGAAATAATAAAGTGTTAGTCGAAGTGAACATGTTAATTGCTGACCCTTGAATAGACATCAAATTTATGCAAATAATCACCAATTTCTTTCTCATTGTCATAGTTTTTATCAAACTCCTCCATTTCCCCAAAGCTCATGATGCAAAACTCCTCCAAAATTGTAAGGACCTCCCATTCCATCTCGCTCAGGAACTCATAGTTAAAGCCATTTATCGCCACAAGATCATTTGTCTGGTACATAGGAAATCAATTTTCACCAATCTCCTCAAACATCCACACGGAACAGTTATCTCTCCCTTGTACTCTCACAAATCTATCTTACTAATCCTGTAATTGTTTGAATGAGGGGTGAAAAGGATCCCGGGAAGGGCGTATAGGGTCACCTAGTCGCCTTTACTTATAACGTCTTAGTACACCATTGAAATAAAAGAAGATACCCATTAAAGGTGTGACTTCTAAGTTCCTACAGAGGATTTCAAACACCCTGATAAAGGCCCTTCAGTGAGGAGATATTTGAGAGGAGTAACATTAATGATTCTAAGAACCTTGAACTCAAACATGGTAAAAGGGATTAACACCTCAAGCCATATATGATGGGGTGATGCATATAGAATACGTCTTCTTCAGAATTAGCAGGGACGTCGTATTAACCATGTCCTGTTCGAAAAAAGGTTCTATGATGACATCTTCTAATTCCTCTGAGCCAGAAAATTTTTTGCTTTTATTAAAGAAATTCACCTTCTCCTTGGTTGGATAAATGGTCTCATAATCTCCAACTTCCAATTGTTTCAAAGAACTAGACGCCATTGGTGATCCTGTATATCATGGGAAAAAATAGGATAAAAGGGGAACAATATCACTACTAGAATTGAAACTTCTATCATAATTACAACACATTTCTAACTCAATAGAATTATATTGGACCGCCCCATAAAGTTGTCTCGCATTCCTAACACAGTGTTCCCACATCCCTATAATTTCCTCATGAGTAGAAGGCTCTACCACGTTGTTATTCTCATCTAGTTTCGAAATAATCGTCATCCAAGAAAAAGAGAGGATGGAGGAGAAATTAAATACTTAAGTGTTAGGGTTCACAGTGATGGAGGAGAAATTAAATACTTAAGTGTTAGGGTTCACAGTGATGGTGGGTTGATAATGATATAGTTGAACTTGAAGAAAAAGAGTCGAGTAAGAAGTTTTACTCCGAGAAATACAAAAAGCGTGAAGAGAAAAGTCAATAGCGATTAAGATTTACTCATTTAGAAGCCAAATATCTAGTTTGTGTATGCTATCATTACCTGATAATAGGTTTGTGCATGGTAGTGGTGGACAGAGCATGCATGACCCAACATCAACGAGTCAGTCGTGTCACGGGTCACCTGATCTACATCACATAGAGCTTAGGTCGCCCGACTCAAGCTCTGTTAGCCTGAGAATTTTAGTCTAGCATTTTTTATATGAAAGTGATATAAATGCATGAGATTGTTGACCAACAATTTTGACATAGGAATACTTCGATTAAGGTGGTGAGTTCGACTCGCCCACAAAGTGTTTTTGGACATGGTGTATTCTTGAGTGTAGGGATTAGACGACTTGGAGACCCAAGGAACGTGGTTTAGAGGAATCTCAAGAGCACATCCACAAGATTAGGATCACTCTCTCTTCAAAACATGATCAGAATCTCAAAAAGGTTGGCAATGATTTGACATATTTAATAGGAATGAGTGCAATGAAATAAATACATAAGTTAAAACACAAGCAGGTCAATCACATTTCAACACTACTACAGGGTCCGATAGAGAAACTCCTTGGCAGTGGTAGTTAGAGGTTGTGAAGAAGGTTTTCAATAATAAGAGTATTTAAGAAACAATTTCAAAGACCAACATGTGGAAGCAAAGTAGAGGAAAGAAGGTCACATAATGGTGTACTTGTCGAGTGCCGACAAGTATACTGTTATGGATGATTATGAAAATGTATTACATAAGCATATTTCATTCATGTAACAATAGTTCGCAAATTTTATCATTATTCCTTGTAGAACTCAAGTATTCAAATCACAAAGAAGAAAGAGTTTGTGATGAAACATGTATGAATATGCGTCCATGTTCTTAAGTTTTTAATCTAAACATTTTATTTGATTGCTTTGTTGTGTTTTTCTTTATTCATTTTACATGTCGAACAACTTTATATTGTTCGTATAGGAATCCCTGTCCAATTTCTCTACATTCAAACATTAATAACCAAGTAGAAACACACTTTCTCAAAAGTTTTGCACAAATTGTCTAGAATTTTTTTTTAAATTTAATCCCCTAAATACACGAAAATTTGTGATTTAATTTGCTAAAAATACCATCAAACAAGCTCATATTAGTCAAGTACCAAGTGCATTAATGTGTACCGAATGACGTCTCTCTAAAGGGTAGTATTGTACCGAATGACGTCTCTCTAAAGGGTAGGATTGTTCACAGTTCAGTTCAACGAAAAAACCAAACCGAGCCATAATAAAAGTTTACTCGAATTAAATCAAACCGTTTCAATTTACTTAGAACCGAACTGAATCAAAATAATTGATTTGATATACCATATAAAAATTTTAAACTGTACCGAACCCTTAGAAGACAAGTTTTCCCAAACCAAATCATTTATTAAAGAACAGAACAATTAAACTATTTTTCAAATTTTTATTTTTAATTTAAAACGAACCCTTAGAAGACAATTTTTCCCAAACCAAACCATTTATTAAAGAACAGAACCATTAAACTATTTTTCAAATTTTTATTTTTAATTTAAAACTTATTTTTAGTATTTTTCATTTTCAATTTTGATTCGATTTGCTTTCAATTCAGTTCGATTATAGTTTCAGTTCAGTTCTAAAACCATTTTATGCAATATGATTTAAGTTTAATTATTTTAACTTCAGTTTGATTCGGTTCGGCAATTCGGTCCACTTCATAGGTTTTTTTAACAGCTGTTTTTGGCCACTTTTTCAATGAAGAAATTATTTTTCTATCAATAAGAATGAGTCTCACTATTCCCACATCCTAGCTGAGTAGTTAGGAGAATATTGGTTCTTGCCCCACAGTTCGACCTCCTAATATCCCATCACACAACTTTTCAATATAAAAGAAACCTCTGGTCTAGTTAATAGAGGGAGAAAATATTTTGAAACAAAATTCAGCATTTTTGTAATAAATAAGATTTTAGATGTACACAGTCTGCAACAAACATTCAATACACTGCTTTTGAGAACAAGTTTTAAGCAAATTAAACAGATTAAAGTGGATCGTGCAAATAGTAATCCAACTGTATTCTATCCTATGATGAATATAGCTCAAGAAAATACAAAATATCTATATTATTATGGATGACATTCAGAATACATCTTCCTGGTTAAAAATAATTAATAGTAACGCATTGGTGTCTGTCATCGCATGAAAGGAACTAACCCCCTCATCTCTGTTCCATTTCCATTGCATAGGAAGTAAATTTTTTTCCAATTTTCTTCTGTGAATGCTTCGCGCCGAATAAGCCTTTGCCTGTCAAATAGGAAAAACAAGGGACTCAGGAATATGTTACACAATTTTCAAGCTATGAAATTTAATTGCACAGTAAGAATCAAAGAAAGGTATAAATATACAAGAACATTCATCCATCGATCGCTAGCTCAAAGAACACTTACGTATCTACAATGTATCTTTCTATTCTGACAAAGTTATAAACTTACACTGAATACGGAGATGTCCAACAATGATACATTTCAAATAGGAAAATGAGTTTAAGCGACATAAAATTAGACAACTAATTATAGACCGATTGATTTGTTAGCTATTACACTATATAGTGTTATTGTTGTGCCTTATAAGCAATATTATCAACTTGAGGAACAGAGAGACTGTGCAAGCATACCTTAAATAATAATGACAAACAGTGTCTGCTTCCTCTAAACTGTATCGAGGAAATATAGCACGGGCATCGATCGGTACATCTGGTAAGTCTTTACGAAGCTTTCCTACAGCTGTTGAATGAGAAAAAGCACCTACCATCATGTCATCATGCATCATTGACCTAAAAGCATTCACCTGCAATAGTAAGAAGAAAACATCTAATGTAGCATATTTCCAGGGGCAGAAGTTATAGGCAGAAAATAATATAGAGCTGGCATTGTTCTACAATATAAAGAAACAATGTACTAACCATCGTAATTTCTCTAGCATGTATTGGCCGACATGAACGAATTGTGACAGGTTCCTCATACTCACTGAATGTAAACCAGTTATTATACTGTAGAGAAGCAATCACATCAAATAAGGAAAACAAATAGCATAGCCCAATTTTGAGAACAAATAATTTCAAAGAAAGAACATCATTTTAACATCAAGCAATTTGATTCTCACTTGATCAATTGCAATAAGAACAGGCATGTCTTTAACAAGTGATAACTCTTTCCTCAAACGAACTACCACTCCAACAGCTGCATGTGTTTGTTCAATGCCAGTCTTCACCAGCTCATGCAACATTGTACCTTCAGGAACAGCCATGGAATCAACATCTTTTAACCATCCCACACCAGCACCCTCGCCTAATGGGATTGGATCAAATATTTGGCATGGCAATTGCTTTAGGTAGGATTCGTTGTACTTCAAGAAATCCTGGAAGAATATTATCCATAACATTCAATGTATCTAGAGGTAATGAGCCAAGGAGACTGATAACAAACCAGTGTTTATCGTAATCATCAATAATAAGCAAAATATAAGTAAACATCCAAAATCAAATAAAACAAAATAAAACCTTTGTCCCTTAATATAGGTCCCTCTTAAGTTTTCTCTTTATTCCTTTTTATATGACCCATTTCAAATTTTCAAATACATTAATTATTTTTTGCCAACATACCACCCCTAATTATATTACATCTTTTTTTGCGATTTGTATTAAATACTCTATAAAACATTAACAATTTCACTCGTGAAGGGTAAACTTGTAAATAATACCAACTGTCAGCAAATTTACTGGTACAGTACAGCCAACTTTTTTAATTTTTGTATTTTACTCAATGGGGTCATATAATTAAAGGACGAAGGTAGTATGTAGGAGAATAACAACTTTTTCCTACAAAAATATCATATTTTAAAATTTTCTTTATTAAACATCTATATTTATGGCTTCTAATATGCATAGGGTTCAGAACTATCCTAATCTAGTATCCTAGTAATTAAAACTTTTATTTGATATATCTTAAGACAGGGGAAGTGATAGCCAACATCATTGTCTAGCGTAGCTCAGTTGATGAGTTAAGGGAGAGTGAAGGAGTTTTAAAGGAGGTTCATGGTTCAAATCCTAAAAACTAACATAATCATTAACTCGCTAAGATTTGTCTATCATTGGATAATGTGGGTTATCACTCCTCTAGTCTTTATAATCATGACATCATTTAAGGATGTAAACAAAATCATAGCATAGGTAAAAATCAACATTCTCTCCAATTGTTCAGGAAAAGAAAGTAACTGCATGAAAGCAGTTGGGAAAACTGAGATGACAGAAAGCAGTTGGCAATTTCTTATAGGTAAACAGTGAACTGCCAGGTCAATTAGACAAACAGAAATGTAACATAGGTTTCGAAATGACAATGGGATAACCATACAAAGTCAGACAATTAACAACCATCCTAGGAAACAATCTGTACAACCTTTAAAAATTGATTTGTGTTGCCAAAGCATCATCAAGAAAACACATTGTTTCATTCATTTCTCTTCTTCGAAATGTTCTATAAACAGGTCATCCAACTGAAAAGTATGCTTAGCATACAGACACAAACATACAATGATATACAACATGGTAAAGCTAGAAATAGTGAAATTTTTAGTCTTACTTTGAGGACATTCTCAGCCTGAACAGGTGTGTCCCATAGACCTGTTTGTGGATGCTTATAGAAAAATCCTCCATGTGTCCATTCCTTTCCTCTGGGAACATAGAAAACCAACCAACCTTCTTCTCGAGCCCACTGAACAAGCATTGCAAGCGCAATGCTTTTCCCAGAACTAACAGGACCATCTAAAACAACTTGCTTCCTAACTTTGACTCCTAAAAAATTTACCAAGAAAACAAATCAATTCGAGTCTTAACTATAGTTATAAATTGCAGTCTGCAACCCCAATTACCGCAACAATAAATAAGTTTTAGAATGTCTCTACATTGGCACCGCAACTGCAACTACAATTGCAGCCCCATCAACTGCATTTGTGTGCATTTTCCCCAGTATCAAAGTTTATAGAAATTTAGAACATCAATAAAGAGCACACCTTTACCATGTGGTGACCACATTGGGGGATCAACCACACGTCTGAAGTTATCACGAAGATCCAAAAAGCTCTGGCGAACAAGCAAAGCAGTTCGCATAGAATCCTGAAACTCCTTCGACATACCAATCGGCAATCCTTCCGGCAAAGCAGCATCCAACGTCTCCTTCCTGGAAAATTAAAGCGAGTCAGTAACTTAACACCGGATAAAGAAGTTTTAAAAAAAACTACGCACGCAAGGTGTTCGAGAAAACGCCGTAGTGGTAAACAAAGCAAAAAAGGCTCAAAGGGAGAGTGTACGCGAGCTGGAAGTAGGTGCAGGTGTCGTTGTTGGTAAGCTTAGATAGGGAAGCGGCGGAAGTGAATAGGGGTCTTCCGTTGGGGCCCACGTTGAGAGAAGGGTTCTTTTCATCGGCGGTGAGATTGCGGAGGCGTTCCTGTTCGTCGAAGAAGATGTCGGCGGTTGCGGCGGTGGGAGGGGTTTTGGAAGTGGAAGTGGACTTTGTTGGAGACTTGGAAGAATAATTTAGAGATGAGACTCTTGTGGTGAGGTTGTTGCGCCATGAATGATTGTGTGTTGCTGCGGTTCTCGTAAGGGACCGCAACATTTTATTTTCTGTAATGAATCAGAGAGAGAGAGAGAGAGAGAGAGATGAGTGTGTGTGTTTGGGTTATTGATGGAAGAGAGAAGGTGATGGAGAACTGAGAAATGCGAAACTGAGAAGTGGAGAGAACTGGGAAACATTGTGGGGGGTATTACCGTACTTTTACTTGATTGTTGGTTGAAATCAGCCCATCAGCCCATATGATGCAATGAAGAGAATTTCTTACGACACCTTTAATAGTTCTAATGCATGTAAAATTTTATAAATGTTATTTTATTTTGAAAATATATCTTCAGACGTGCTCAAATGTAATTGAAGGTTGAAATATTTCAACAATATATCTCTAAAATATTTTGAAACATAAATCGCGTTAGATTATTTTTCTTTCACATTTTACAGTTTTCTTCAAATTCAATTTAACTTAGGGGTGAACAAGAACTCGAGACCCGAAGGGTCTAGCTATATCCGATCATAAATTTTTTGAAACGGTTGGGTTGTCGGATCCAAAGAGTAAAAGGTTCAAGTTTTACTGGATTACATTGGTCGTTGGGTGATAAAAATTGATCCGGTAAAATTCATCACCGACCAAAACACAGTCTTCAATTCCTAATAGTGTGATAGGTATAAGTATCTTACACCACAATATTCAAATCCTAATAATAGTGATTAGAGTTACTTTACAAATTGCTTTTTCAAAAACCATTGTATATTCACGTATCCTTCTTAATTTTTTTTCTTTTTTTATTGCTTAGACTCTATTTTCATTTTCTTCTTAATTCACTCACTATTGTTTTTCTCTCTCCTTTTTTCTCTCAAGACACCACACAATATTTAACATCAAAACACCATTTTTAATGCCAATCTCCATAAAAGTTCTTTTCCACCACACCATTTTTAATGCCAATCTCCATAAAAGTTCTTTTCCACCGCACCATTTTTATGACTCCATTAATATTTTTATGTTTAAGTTTACGGCAACTATGTTACTACAAGAAGGAACACATATTACTATTTTTTACTTCTGTTAAAATCTTCTTAAAATATGTTATGCATTCTAGATCTTGCTTCAAAAGGAAAAGTAGTATTTAACAAATCTTTAAAAAAAAGAGTTATTGTGTTGTTTAGTTTTAGTTAATTTTTCATTGTTTCTCATTTTATGTACGACTTCTTTTCTTTTGATTGGTGTTTTAGTTTTTGATTTTGATATTTTTACGATTTGTCCCAGCTCGGATGAAACGACTCGTCAAATCCGTTATCCGAAAAAACCGCTATCCGTCAAAACTGATGTCTTAAACGGACAAAAGGGAGTTGATTTTTTCAATCTGTCGGTCTTAAACGGTGGATAATTTTTTACTCGGAACCGTCCGCCGCCGACCGTTGTCCACCCCTAACTCAACCTCTTTCAATACACTTTCCTGCACCAAATTAAATTTCATCAAACAAGACTCAAAGAAATTCAATGGAACATCAAGCTTCATCTATAACATCATTCAACTTCATAAAAACCATCAATTTCATGTAAGTTTCTCGAGTTTTCGGTAAATTTTTATTTTTAGTGTAAATGTGTAGAAATCAATGATGATGGTTAGAAATGTGTATAAATCACATGTAAGATAGTTTAGACCTAGTGTCGCAACTGCGAAAAGGGCCGGCGGAAACAAACAGAAGATTCACCATCGAACGTTATTTATCCCAAAGAAAGAGAAAGGAAATGATCGAAGAAAGTCTAAAAGAATGAAAAAGACAAGGTCATCGCAACCAAATCTTGGGTTCGGGAGTCAGTTACGCAAGGGAAAAGTATGAGCACCCCTCACGTCAGTTGTACTCAACGGGATTCGCGCTTATTGTCTATCAAAAGGGGTGAGTTATCTAAAAGCTACTACTAAACAAGGGATGAAAAAGAAAAAAGGAGACTTGATAGGACATTGCCGCCCTATGCCTATGTATTCCCTCGTACAATAAGAAAGTCATAGTCAATGTAGTTCGGAGAACTACGGGTGATGTGGGGAAGGTTGCTCGCCAAGACATCGCCTCTTGTGCCTACGTATCCTCATATGGTATGAGAAATCAGAGCAGACGTAGTTCAGGAAATTAAACCGCTAGTTGGTTAAGTGTTTTTTTTATGAGTGACATTAAGTTTATGTTCCAGCAGTTAGGGACGATGCATGTTTGCGGTAGAACGGAAAAGTAACGTACTTTTTTTGAAAATGATTTAAGAACAATGTCGAAGGATGAAAAGGTTGGAATTTTGTTCAAGAGTTTTAGTGAAGTGAATTGAATTTGTTCAAGATTCACGTTGCACTAAAGACTATGACATAGGAGCGAATGCGTCGCATATCGCCCAAAGGGCATACACCAAACACTCCAGACAAGTGAGGAGAAACCCCTCACTCATCATTTCTCATATACTTAAGGCTCATGGCGCACAATGTTCATCATTCTTTATTAAATGTCTTAAGATTGTTTGAGATGAGAAGAGAAGACACAAAAGAATACTAAAGGAAAATTGAAAATCCTAATATTGTCATACAAAGTGGTCCTAAGGTTAGGATAAAAAGGAAGTCTACCTAATATTATCATACAAATGATGGACCTAAAGTTAAGATGAAAATGGATTATCCTAATTGTTATCATGCAAAGGATTGAAAGTCTAATATCTCTCCTACTCCCATCTTAAATAGAGGGACTAGGAATCCTAAAGGATCATGTGAGCAAGCACAAGTAAACACCAATCAATTCAATCACAAATGAAAACAAGAACTAAACTTAAACAAGTTCCAAAAAGAGAAGAAAGATGAAGAAAGATGAAGAATGAAGAAACAAGAAGTCATTATCAAACCAAGATGAAGACAAACAGGCACATTCATTTCAATCTCAAACAAAGCAAGCATCATCATCAAACATCAAACAAACATTCATCATCATAAAGCATGATGAGATGAAGTCAAGAGGCACAAGAAGCAAGGTAGGGCAGCAAGCACAACATACCATACTCATGTCATATCAATGATCAAACAAAAGCGCACAAGAAACAATCATGCATCTCATCCATACACAAGTCAACACCAAACAATCATGCATACAAACAAGTGCAAAGCAAACATCCCATAGGCAAAGCATATGAACATGACATGAGCAAGAAGAGATCACAACATCCACGTGATCAAACAAGTTTGACATTCAACCATGCACACACAAGAGAGATCATACAAATGGAATCACACAAGTGGCAATCAAAATCATGCCTCAAGAAGAATTCAAACATCAAATCATCCATACAAGAGGAATAACCATCAAAAAAACATCAAGAACTCAAAAGGCATGAATAGGGACAGAATACCACCCTAGAATGAATTAAAAACAAAAATCACTCCAATTTACAATTTAAAATCAACTAAAATAAATAAAAAAGCAAATAAAACCCAAAAAAGGATGGAAAATAGCTAGACCATAAACAAAAATCCAAGAACATCACCATAGGTCAGAAACCATCATGGGATCATGTGTAAATTTTCTCATAATTTTAAATGGCTCAAAAACAGTTTTAAACCAATTAAAATTAATCAAGTAAAGCAAAAATACATGGAAAATAGAAAAACCAGAAATCAAAATTCAAGAAAATCACCATAGGTTCAAAACCATCATAGGATCATATAATATTTTTCTCATAATTTTAAAATGCTTAAAAACAATTTTAAACTAATTAAAATTGGCTCAAACAAATTAAAACTCAAGAAAAATAGCAAATGGACAAATAAAAATGCACAAAAATAAAAAATCAGAAAGAGAAAAATAAAAGGAAATTTTATAAATTATTTTGGTATTTTTCTTATTAAAAATTAATTTTCTATGAATTTTTAAAAATAAAATGAATTTAAAAACAATTTAGAAAAAGAAAATAAAATAGAAAAAACAAGATACGTTGGATCTGAGTTCATTAAATGACGTGGCTGATCCAATGATCCAAAAGCGCGCATCTATAAAAGACCTAAGTCAAGTTAACCACACAGATCTAATAAAAGTCAGAGACACCAGATTAAAACAACTGTAAGGCATGGATGGTCAAATGATGCCAGCTCAATCATCTTCAACCTCCAGCCATTTCAAATTCAAGGAATTTGCAGAGAATCGTGGATCCATCAAAACATAACCATTGGAGCTCATAGTGGTTTCATTTGATGCATCTTTTCAACACGGTCTCAACCATATCATCACGCCAAATATCTTTAAACCATAGCTCACTCGATTTGAAAAAAACCAGAAAGAAAAGCAAACAAGGATTTGAAAATTAAGCATCAAAACTCAATCAAGACCAAAATCTAACAATCCTAACAGCATTAACACATCAAGGATTACATCTTAGCAACAAATTTGAGTTGAAATAATTAAGAATTGTACCTGTTGAAGTTCAACTTCAGAGCTCTGAAAATGGAGTCTCCTAGCTTGATTCAGGCCACGATCCTTCAAGTTCTTGAGCTGGTTAGCTTCACTGAATGTTGGTGAAGCTAACTGAATGGAGAATTTGAGTGTTTAGGGTGTGGAAATGAAAATTCGAAGTTCAAGCTTAAGAGTTCAAATGGGATCTCAGTAGGGTGGTTCTGGCTATCAAAGCTTATGAAAATGAGTGGAATGAGTCCCTTATTTATAGGGGAAGCTTTCTGAATGGAGAGGGAGTGTGAATGATGTGAATTTCAACAAATTCGTGTATGCCTGCAGCATGAGCAAAGTGTGACTTGAAAGTTGTCAAAACTCACTCAAACCTTGCGTTTCAAGGCTCTAATCAACCCAAGCAAGTTGGTTAATCATGTTTAGATTGAATTCATGGCTTAATTTGGTGATTAGAGGCCAATTCAAACAAAATCAATTCTGACTTGAAGTGGATTTTCAGCTTTGAAATTCAATCTTTGCAACCATGATTCTCACAATGCATGAGGCTTTTTGAGATGCTTCTTCTTGCATTGGATAGAGGATGATGCCAACTTTTCAATGTGAAAACAAAGTAT